AACGAAGGCGTAAGGGCTGTACGTCGATGGAGCCGCTCGACTGGCGGGTTGTTGTAGATGACCGTACGAAGGCCACTGGCCTCGGGAGCAAACCCTTTCGAGCGGTGGTAAAAGAGTGTGTGCGTGCGTCGCGGATGCACGATGCCGCGGTCGTGGCGTATCGTCCAAGCCTTGCCCACAGGAAGGCGTCGGGAACAAGTGTGTGTGGGGATCGTGTGGGATATCTGAGCGTAGGAGTGATACAGTAATGTGATGCGGAATGTTCATGATGCGATGCTCTGGGTTTGCGGATGCGGTGCACCGCGGCGATGCAAAGGCGACCTAGAAAGCATGTCAGATTGGCCGCAGCCCGTACGATAACGAAGCAACGCACCTTGATACTCCTTTACTATAGTCCTTATCCTGGATCTTCGCCTTCACATTGTCAACCATGTACGTCGACTCCACCTCCGGCGCGGGCTTGCAGAGTATACGTGTAGCGGCCGCGCATAGTAGACTGAGTGGGCATGTCAGCAAGACCACAGCGTATATGATGACAATGCAGCGCACCCAGCTGCTTTCTTACTATACTCCTTATCCTGGATCTTGGCCTTGACATTGTCGATCGCGTCGCAGCGGCAGCGCATAGGAGACTGAGGGAACAGGTCTGCACGACCACAGTGTGTATGATGAGAATGCAGCGCACCCAGCTGCATTCTTACGTTACTCCTTGTCCTGGATCTTGGCCTTGTCATTGTCGATCGCGTCGGTCGACTCGACGTCGGGCGCGGGCTTACGGAGGATACGTGTAGCGGTGGCGCATAGAAGACTGAGGGAACATGTCAGCAAGACCAAAGTGTGTATGATGACGATTCTCCGCACCTGGATCCGTCCTTTCTATACTCCTTATCCTGGATCTTGGCCTTGACATTCTCAATGCTTCCTTCCCACACTCGTTATCCTAAACTTGCGCTTTCGCGTTGACGATCGTGTCCCAAGCCTCAACCTCAAGAGCGGGTTTGAGCATAAATCAAGATAAGTAATGCACGGGACCGGCGCGGACGGCGGACGTGGCGAAGAAAGACCGGGTGGGGGTGCGGAGTCGTTGGCTTAGAGCGGGTAGCGGTGCGTGAGCCTGTGTGTTGGCACGCACAAGGCGCTGACGGATGTGGCCGTACAGACATGGCGGGCGCAAGCTGGGCAAGGTACAGTAGACCGCGATTCGCGCGCATGGATGGTGCGCTTCTCAA